GGCTCCAGGCTCCGAGCTGTCAGCACAGAGCCTGACGCGGGGCTTGAACCCACGAACAGCAAGAACACGACCTGAGCCGAACGAAGTCGGACGCTCAACCAACTGAGCCACCCAGGTGCCCCGAGGTATTTTTAAATATTTGTATAAGCTTATTAGCATTCACAGTTTCCAAAGTTGCTTTGGAATAGCTTCAATTCTCTTAATATTTGACTTTCAGACATGTTTTCATATACCATAGTCTCTGCCCCCAAACTCATGGAAATATCAAACAGCTAGCTATTCTGTGGCAGAAATGGTTCTTGTAGTAATAAGGGTTCTATTTCCCAATTATTGTGCTATTCTTAAGATGTAATTAAAAAAATAGGAAATTTGCAATTCATATAAAAGGGAAACTTGCTTAAACTTCCGAAAGCAAGTCCAGTCTGGTGGAGGTATATAAGACATTAAATAACAGAGTCAGATTCTTTCTTAAAGATTCCAGGTGAGCTTGACAGCAGAGAGTTCTGGTTCTCCAACATTTTCTCCATCTTTTCTCCTCCAGTGGTTTCACCAATCTCTCTTTGCTTCTTACTGTGGATCCATGGGATAAAACAAAGGACAGCACCTCCAATAAGGGGAGGGATTCCAGCGAGGTAGAATGCCACATCGTAGGAGCCCAGCTTGTCACGAAGTAACCCTGGGAAGGGAAAAAACTGTCACCAAGAGAGAACCAAGTGTGGCTTTTAGGGGTCTCAGATCAATCACACTGATGGCCTCCTCCTAAGCTAACAACTTCATCTCAGCAGGACTAGTTCAACCATCTCAAATATCAGACATTGCCCAGGAAATGGGTCTGAGGTAAAAACCTTTCCTGATAGGAGGAAGGAAAAGATCTTAGATCTTTAATCTCGTCACAGACTACAAGCCTATGGGTTTTCATACCAAGTTATTACATGGAAAAAAATATTTGCAACCAAGCTTTGGCTTTCTCAAAACCATTCAAAGGCCATTTGGGGTATTCTGACCTTTGGTGTAATGGTCCTTACAACGTCTACATTTCACATCTTTCTTAGGCCTATTTGTTTATGAAATAACATGAAACTATATTTAAAATTATGATCCGAAATCGTAACAAAAATTATAGATCTAAGAGGATGAAAAAGTTAGACTGTTACATACATTTATCAGCACGTGGGAGTAAAACATAAGAATATATGTTTGCACTTTAATAGATCCTTGGGCTCTGCTTCTAAAAACGGTTATTTTGAATACTCCTTATTTCTAATTTCTCTAACAAAATCCAGGTTTTTTTAAAAAGATTTTATTCTTGGGGTGCCTGGGTGGCTTAGTTGGTAAAATGTCTGACTTCAGCTCAGGTCATGATCTCGTAGTTCATTAGTTCCAGCCCCCCGTCGGGCTCTGTGCTGACAGCTTAGAGCCTGGAGCCTGCTTCAGATTCTGCCTCCCTCTCTCTCTACTCCTCTCCCACATGTGCTCTGTCTCTCTCTGTCAAAAATAAATAAAAACATTAAAAAATATTTTTTTAAGATTTTATTTTTTAAGTAACCTTTACACCCAACATGGGGCTCGAACTTATAACCCCAAGATCAAGAGTCACATACTCTACCAACTGAGCCAGCCAGACACCCCACAAAATCCAGATTTTACAAGTCATCCTAGTGGTTTTTTTTTTTTTTTAACGTTTATTTATTTATTTTCGAGAGAGAGCATGCACGCGCGCGCAGGGGAGGGGCAGAGAGAGAGAATCCCAAACAGGCTCCTCAGTGTCAGTGCAGAACCCAGTGGGGCTTGAACCCACAAACCGCGAGACCATGACCCAAGCCAAAACCAAGAGTCGGACACTTAAGCAAATGAGTCACCCAGGTGCCCCTATCTTAGTGTTTTTAAACTTTTGTAACTTTTACCATAAGACCTAAGTTATCAGAAATGTCCAGGGAACAAACCGTATAGAGTATCTGACTTTTCTAAATAAACAGCTGAGAATCTGTCAAGTACCGACATGAAGTGTTCATTTATTCTAGATAGAAACATAAAATATACAATATATCTAAATCTACAATTTTCTTATCTTCTGAGTCAGAATATTCTGTATATACTGACCCTTTCCTTCCTTATGAACACCAGTCATCAGGTTTGGACTGTAATACTATGATCCGTCAGAAGCTCCTGAGGAGTCAAGAGCTTTCTGCTGCCAGTTGCTGGGTGCTGTTCTGCCAACTTAGGAAGTTTCCAGTTATCTCCTTATTCTTGGTCTGTTATCAGTCATTTCTAGTTGCAAACACCATTCCTACCAAAGTGCTACTTATTATCTGCTTTTGACTTGGAAACCCTAGAAATCTACGTTTGTAAGGTATAAAAATAGTGTGAATAGTCTATTACCTGCAGGCAGGGGAAGAAGGGCTGGAGGGTTCTCCTCCTACAGGGAGACTGTGACCTTTAGTGACTCTGTGTGCTTGATTCGTGACTAGGTTCCCAGCGGGAAAAGTTGCTAGATATGTGCGATTCTGGACACGAGAATGAACTTTCTCTGAGCCCCTTACATGCCAAACACCAACGATAATAAATACATTTGAATTTTATCCTAATTTTATCAGATTCTAATCTAATAATTTACTGGCACCCCAGTGATATTGAACATGAGACAATTTTATGCTATTGAGAAGATTTCTAAAGGTGAAATGCATCATAACATAAATTAACCATTTCTGTGGCACTTACCACATTCACAGTGTTGTATAACCGCCACCTCTATCTAGTCCCCAGATATTTTTATCACACCAGAAGGAAATGCCATACCCGTTAAGCAGTTATTCCCTACTCCCCCTTCCCTCCAGCCCCTGGAAACCACCAATCTGCTCTCTGCCTCTGTGGATTTACCTACTCTGGATATTTCATATCAATAAAATCATACAGTATGTGACCTTTTGTATTTGTGCTTCTTTCACTTAGCATAATGTTCTCAAGGTTCATCACCTGGTAGCATGTATTGGTACAATACTTCATTCCTTTTTATGGCCGAATAATATCCCCTTATGGCTGCACCACATTTTGTTTGTCCATTCATCCACTGATGGACATTTGAGTTGTTTCCACTAAATGGTATTTTTCATTAATTATTTCTAGGGGGGATACGATCTCTTGCCCAAAGCATACATATTTAGAAAATTTTTAGAATCTTCACCTCTTTTTTTAAAGAAACTATGTTCCCATTTCTCCAAAACACATACTAAGTGAAATACAGGAATTGTAAAAGCTTAAAGCCCAGAAGATTGCAATTACACACTTTACTGTGTCAGATTATCAATAAGGATAAGAGAGACTCCTCAGCAAACTTTTTCAACATGCCATCTACAGCTGGTCTTATTAAAAATGTTATCAATAAGGCACATACAAAAGCAAAAGACCACCAACCAATAGATCATAATATATTTTACAGATAATTACTGGAGAACCATTACATTTACCTGCAATAGGTGGGCCCACAGTCATGGGTATAGACATGAATCCAAGTAGAAATCCAATTGCTTGAGAAACATCCTGGGCACCAATTAACTCAAAGGCAATGGGAGCCATAATGGAAATGAAGCATCCATCGAAGAGCCCCATGATGAGACAGACAGCAATGAGGGCCCCAAAGACACCGCACAGGGGAATCATCATGGACATCAGACCAATGAAGAAAAAGGAGAGTACCTAGAACAAGACACCACCACAATGTCAACTCTGCTCTCAGGAAAAGTATATGTTGCAATTACTGAGCAACGTGCATGCCTAGGAATATTAACTGACTCCTCCCTGGAAGAGTTGCCTCCCTGGCCCAATTCACCTTGATTTTATGTAATCAATCCCCATAATCATCTCCCCTAAGTTCCCCTAGCACTTTCTTAAAATTTACATTAAGAATAAAGTAATTATTTTTACATATTTACCTTCCCCTCCAGCCTGTAAGTTCTTTGAGGTCAGAATCTGTACAAGTCCTCTTTGGACTAGATGTTCTAAGGTTTAAGAATCTTGCACCTGGTCAGCGCTCAATAAATATCTGTTCTTTGAGTGTTGGCTCAAATGCATTCATCAAACATCTGATTTTGAAATTATATATACTCTACTGGTGTTAGTCCTTTGCAAAAGGAAAATATGCCAGCAAGATCAGAACAGATCACAAAGCTTCCAATTCGGGGAATGCAATGATGTAAGGTTTAGATATTTAAATAATTTAGAATACATTGCCTGCCAATATTCCAGACATAATCCAGATATTCAGACCAAGTGAGAGATTAAAATAAGTAACTATGAGTTGATAGGTATTATACAAATATGTACTGAATTTTGATTATTCAAATTCTAATTAAATTCTGACAGTCATAGGAAATATGTATAACATGCAATGAAAAACAAATTATTCTGCTATAACATTGAAGAACTAAATTTTCTAATCCTATTTTACTTGATAGTGTAAATCAATAAGATTAACAAATGATACTTTCAAACACTGTTTTCTGGTGATACAGCATAGGTATATCCTATTTAAGCCTCCAGAGTTAAGGTTTGGAAATACTTTGAGCCATGGAATACTTTCATTTTAACGTTAGAGTAGTTAATAGAACCGAACACTTAATTTTGCCTGCCATTTGGTAGCTCTGTGCTGTGTGCTATGTGAATAATACCTGGTCCCTACCCTTGGGCTGTGGGGAGATGAACACGTGAAACAAGTGGACATCAAGTGTTCTAGATGTTGCCATAGTTGTATACTCCCAAGTATGGTGAATACAAAAAAAGAAGCAAACAATTCAATAACTTTCTTTAGGCAAAGAACGAATTAAAACTCGACAATTCACTAGGCAGCAGAAGAAATGTTTCAAAATGCATCAAGCTTTTGAAAAATATGCATATAATAGCAGCTATCATTTATTGTTTATTAAGTGCCAGGCACTGTTCTAGGCACTTTAATAATCTCCTAACAACTTTACGAAGTGGATACTAATATTGTGCCCATTTTACAGATGCAGATAGTGATTCTGGAAGAGGGGTAGTAATGCGCCCAAACGTGCCCATCCTGGAACCCTTGGTCTACACAGGTAGTAGTAGAGAGCAGAAGGAACTACTGTTCCTAGAGGATACCCTTCAATGACAGGGGGGTGGGGGTGGGGGGAGGGAAAGACCATGAAGCAGCCATCTGGATCACCATCTTTGCCTATTCTGTTTTTCCTAGGACCCACTAGGCACACCTACAGCGTACCAAGCTCGGTAGCTCACCTCAGGGCAGCCCCTCACAACCTAGTACACATCAGGATTACCTGAGGAGTTCCTGAAGCTGCAGACTGAGTGAAGGGATACAGGAATAGCAGTCTGGCCAAGCTCTCCAGATGACTTTAATACAAGTGGTCCACTGACCCCACAATAAGAAACATGCTCTTGAAAAAAGTTTCAAACTCCAGGTTAGATCTCTTTTCGACACCATCACACCATGCAACTGAAAATTTTTCTTCATGGTTAAAACATGGCTTTATGGTATAATGATTAGTATAAGACTCCGAGTTGGTTGTTGAAAAATAAGCCTGGCACTCACATTTTCCAAAGAACACAGTCTCCCATTCTCCTGATTTTTTATTTTCTACTTAAACATCCTCGTCTCTACCCCAGCTTCAATGAAACCACATACAGAATTTCTTGCATGGATATTATTGGGCTTGCAGCCTGATAGGTTGGAAAGAACTAAAGGCCCAGAGGAACAAGACCAGGTTCCAGCATTCTGTGACCTTGAGCCAGTAAAAAGGCTTCCTGATGCTTCCCATCTACACAAACATATCTAAAAATAAATCAAAATGTAGAAAGGGGGTTGAAATTCATAAGTAGGTAAAGATTTCAGGAGTTATTGATAAAATAACCATACTTTAAATAGTCTTAATTGTATATACATTTTTTAACTCTACCTGCAAAACATAAAAGGAGATAAACATGGAAAGTCATTTGAATCTTAGAAACTTATCTCTATTATCACAAACTCCAGAGGATCTACAATAAAACTTCAGGACACTGTGGGGCCACATTACCACAGACCAAACATTCACAACCATGCCACTGTAACTATGCTATGTGTTAGCTTTCAAGAATATTCTTTTCTTTGGATGTTTCCTATTCTTTTACTATTTTGTTTAGTACAAATCTCTTCCAAGATAAGAGAACCAGAGTGAATTAGTGAAATCCTAGCATACTACTTGGCACAAAGTCAACTGTGCTCAATAAATGAATGTTTTTCTTGGACAAACTTATGTAACATGAGACCCAGGTGCTTTACTTTTGGTGGTTATCCTGATTTTTCTATACATCGTTGGCCCCTTGCAATTTTTGTTCTTTGGTTAGTTTTGTAAAAAATCATTCACTTAAGAGTTTCGAATTTATTACTATATATTTGAACCATATCATTTCTTAATACTTTACCTGACTACAAGTTCTCCTCAATCCAAACTATATTACCTTCTTTTTTAATTACTTGGCAGTAATTGTTAGTTATTATTTGAAACTGTTAAATTTTAATAACTTAAATAGAAATTTTTATTTAAAAGTAAAATTTCTTGGTTTTTCTTTAAGAATGGAGTTCACAGGAATTTACACATTTATTCTTTAGCATTTCTCAGAAAATAGCTTGCAAACTGTTCATATGAGAGGTTCCATACTTCATCACTTCCCCCAAATAAGTACTGATCCAGGGGTACCTGCCTGGACCAGTCAGAAGAGCGTGCAACTCTTGATCTCAGGGTCGTGAGTTTGAGCCCCATGTTAGGTGTAGAGATTGCTAAATAAATTAAACCTATTAAAAAATACATTGATCCATACATCAAATATTGATTTGTAGATGCCCCATTTTGAAAGATGAATAAATTTAGTATTACTACAGTCTGTTTTCCTCTCCTCAAACACAGCAACTCTGGTTAGATTTAAATTTTTTTTTTTCAATGTTTATTTATTTTTGGAACAGAGAGAGACAGAGCATGAACAGGGGAGGGGCAGAGAGAGAGAGGGAGACACAGAATCGGAAACAGGCTCCAGGCTCTGAGCCATCAGCCCAGAGCCCGACGCGGGGCTCGAACTCACGGACCGCGAGATCGTGACCTGGCTGAAGTCAGACGCTTAACTGACTGCGCCACCCAGGCGCCCCTAGATTTAAATAAGGTATTCAGAGGCTCCTAATTCTCCTCTAATCTCTGGCAATGACATTTAATTTAATAAGGCATTGACAGTTGAGATGTAGTTCTTGCTTTTGTTTTCTTAAAACCATCCAAGGAAATATCTTCTGTCACAATATTATAGGCTTTAGAAGAATAACCCCTTGCTTGAGTTAGTTTACATACTTTAAGAACAAAAAAAATTGTTTTTTTTATATTACCCTTCCCTATTTCTATCACAAAGAGAACATTCTTGGAGAAATGTCAGTTTAAGTTCTGCTCAGGAATCTAAGTATAGCTCAAGAGGAAAAATGAGCTGCACCTGAATAAGCAGGAGGCATTTTCAGAGGCAGACATAAAGCTGGTCAGAGTTAGGTTCAAGTGTTGCTCCTACAAATTTATTCAATATAAAGTTTCCAGACTTTCAGGGCCTCTGGCTAGGAACCCAGAGCAGAAAGCCTTTCACCATTATAGTTCCATATAATGCAATTCAGTCATCTCTTCAGCATTTAAAACTGTTAGGCTGGGGGCGCCTGGGTGGCTCAGTTAAGTGTCTGACTCTTGATTTCGGCTCAGGTCATGATCTCACAGTTCATCAGTCTGAGCCCCACATTGGGCTCTGTGCTGACAGTGCGGATTCTCTCTCTCTCCCTCTCTCTGTTCCTCCCCCCTGCCTTGTGCTCTCTCTCTGTCCCTCTCTCTCTCAAAAGAAATGATAAACTTAAAAAACAAAATGTTAGCTGAAAATACCTGGAAACCAGGACCTTGACAGAGTTTAAATTCAGAACTCTTAAGCAAAATGTGAGTGATCTATAAGCTAAGTGATCTATAAGCAAAGATCTCTAGTTCAGGATAACCAAGTCTCCTTTCTTAAGATCTGTTCCAAATCAGGTTTTGCTTCAGTATTTGATGAAATAAAAAGGGGACGCCTGGGTTGCTTAGTTGGTTAAGCATCTGACTCTTGATTTTGGCTCAGGTCATGATCTCACGGTTTCGTGAGTTCGAGCCTTGCGTTGGGCTCTGTGCTGGCAGCTTGGAGCCTGCTTGGGATTCTCCCCCTGTCTGCCCCTCACCAACCACACAATAAAAGGAAAGATGCATTAATCCTCCACTCTGGGCTGGCACTTTACATAAGCTGTCACCATGAATCCTTACCACAGCCCTCTGCCAGTTCTGAACACGGCTGGTGCAAGGACCGGGCTGAACTCATGTCTCCAGAGCCTGTGTGCTTTTCTGCTGTGCAGCCTCCCAAACCCAAGATGCCTGTGACCAGGAATTAGACCGTGTGGGAGGCTGTGAGGTGTGATCTGTGCCCAGCTGCTAGGAGACAGGGAGGAGTTGGGCTATAACAGACAAAAGCAGGCAGTGGGCATGTCTGCACCACCAACGACAGCAAGGTAAGGAGTGGGAGCATTCCAACTTTTAAAGGCTAGGCCAAAAGGCAGCCAGCCATTGAGGGAAAGAGAAAGAGGAGGAAGCAAACAGGCAGAGCTGGAGCTGGCAACAGCAGAGAACAGCCAAGAATCAAAAGCCACACCGAATGGTTGGCAGGTGGGCAGGGAAGCCAGGAAAAAGGAGAGACGGAGGAGGGGAGTGATACAAAGGAGTGAGTCCAGTAGCCACACAGGCAAGGCCTGTGTTGGCTCCTGTGCCACTGTGTTCACAGGAGGAGCGCACTCCCAGCAGCCACAAGACACACAGGACACGCTGAAGGCCTTTTTTCTCCTTCACAGGCTCTCTGAAATGCAGTCACGTCACTGGTGACTCAGCATATGCTGCTGTGGAGAATGGATTACTGCTTCCACCCCAGTAATCTATCCTCCAGAGACAGAACAACCACAGTGACTTAAAATGTGAAATCAGACCACTTCATTCTCCAACAAAGACCCACAACACTTAAAGCAAAATCTCTTCAATTTGACTTTCAAGGCCCTGTATAATCTGGCCCCTCCTAGCTTTCCAACCTCTTCCCTTGTCACTCTCCCTGTCTTCCTGAGTTCTTCATTTTTCCTGCCTCCAGTATTGCTCCAGGAACTCAGGGACCACGTGTGTCTTGTTTGTGTCACCCCACCAAGGTCTAGGCTGGAGCACAGTAGACACAATCCTTTGCATGAATGAAAGGAAGCTGAAAGTCTGTAATACAGGGGCGCCTGGGTGGCTCAGTCAGTTAAGTGTCTGACTCTTGATTTCGGCTCAGGTCATGATTTCACAGTGTGTGAGTTCAAGCCCCACGTCAGGCTCTGCACTGACAGCGTAGAGCCTACTTAGGATTCTCTCTCTCTCCCTCTCTCTCTCTTTGCCCCTCCCCTCCCTGCTTGTGTGCTCTCTTTCTCCAAATAAGTATTTTTAAGTCTGTAATGCATCGAATGTCCATTAGAGGGTTCTCTTGACACTTGAGAACAAAACCAAATGTTCCACAAGAATACCCACAGTTAGGTCCTAAAAAAGGGGGAAACGATCATAATACAGTAAATACTTGTAAAAGTAGCACTCTACCAGCTGTCTACTCTCCCTTCTGCTATGTGACCAGACTCCTTTCTGCAGCTGGCTGCTGGGACCTCCACACAGACACCCACAGTGAGTCAGCCTCTGTTCCTTAGGGTTCGTACCTCTGAGTGGAAATAACAACGATACTTTCCTCTTAGGGCTGGTGCAAGGAACAAGGGAGATTGCGTGTGGGGCACTTAGTTCATTGTCTGGCACATGGAAGTACTCAATAAATGGCGGCTGGGTTATTTCAAATCATCTAATGGAAGCTTCTTTATCTGTAATGAATGCCTTTTCCAATCATTTTCCTGCACCTAAATCCCAGCTCTACTTCAAAGCCCAGCTCAAATACCACCTCCCATCTATACAGTGAGCTGGCACGCTCAATTCCCCAATCCCAAATTGCCCCCTTCCCCGGGCTCCCCTTCACTCTCCCCCCACAGCCAAGCTGTTGGGCAAAGTAGTCTACGTTTCCATTTTTTCAGCTAATCGTGATCAGTCTTTAGCACCTGCCATGCCACTGAAACTCTGTTGCTAAATGCAGTGAAAACCTTTTAGCCTTTAATGTGCTTGCCCTGTCACTAGCTACCGACACTGCTGACCACTGCTGTCCCTGAAACACTCTGTGCCCTGCTTCTTTCCCACTAAGCTGGCCACTCCCTTCAGTCTTCATGCACATCCCTCGTCCTCCGCTTACCCATACAGCCCACAAATGCCGAAGTCCCACAGGTCCCTCGGGCTCTCTCAGGAGCTCCAGACGCAACATGGCTCTCCCATGAGCACCAAAAATTTAACATGGCAAAAGTGAACTCCACATCTTACTCCGATTTACTGAAATGACTCATCTTAAACGCAAAGCACAACCATCCATTCTGTTACCGGAGCCACAAATCTCAGACCCAGCTTTGGTGGCTCCATCAAACTCTTACTCCCATATCCCTATTTTACTGCTGTTTGATTCCAGTGTTTCTGCCTTGGTTCCTCCTGCCTAGACTGCTTCAGTGGTCTCCAGCTAGTACCCCTGCTTCCACTCTGTTGTTATTGTTGTTGTTGTTTTTAATAAGAGCTTGAGAGAGATAAATTCACATACCATAAAATTCACCCATTTAAAGTAAATAATTCAGTACGTTTTACTGAATTTACAAAGTTGTACAACTATCACTACTGCCTAACCTTGGAATATATCACCCCAGGAAGAACCCCCATAGCCTGTAGCAGTTACTCCCCACAGCCCGCCCCTGCCAGCCCCGGGCCACCAGGAATCCACTCTGTCTCTGTGGCACTGCCTATTCTGGCCACTCCACCAAAACAGAGCTGCACAACATGTAGCCTTTTGTGACTGCCTGAGCTCCTGCCCTCCCACGTCATCCACCCTTCACAGCCACTCATTAAGCTTAATAAAATACAACTCCTGTCATGTCACTCCCTCAGTTAAAACCCTCTAGTGGCTCCTGGTAGATTTCAGGATAGTGTCATCCTTCTCCTAACCCGGCTCCTGCCTCTCCCCACCCCCCTCCCCCCCCCCACCCCCAGCCAGTCAGTTTATCGCTCTCCCTTTATTCCATTCAAACACTCAGTTTCGCAGACATAATATACTATGTCATACCTCCACCTCTTTGCCCATGTGGTTTCCTCTGCTTGGAACACACTTCTCTATCTTCCTTCTCTTTCTGACTGCCACTCACCTCTTAATACCACACCAGCCCAGGAAGCCTGCTCAGAGCCTCACTAGTGATTCAGATAGTTGGTGCCTAGGTTTCTAGCACCCGTCTAGCATAGCCATTATTCCACTTTGCTGCAACACTGTCTCCCCATGAGACCATTAGCGACTAACTGAGGGCACAAACCATGTTTCATGCTTCATCCGAGCATTTAGCACAGTGTCTGGCACGGAGGAGTCATTTAAGTGCTTGTCAAGTGAGTGTCCATGTGAGCTTGGAATTAGCATTTGCGTAGTGCACAGCCCTCAACACCCAGGAGGCAATCTGCAGTAAAAAAGTTCAAAAGAAACAGGCCCCTGAATTTCACAAGGTGGTGCAAAAGGCACATGACTAAGAGAACTGTGCCAGAAATAAAACATTCTTCTTAGAAAAAGCAGTGAGCAAAAACCATCTTGATTTGGTGGAGTGCCTTGACAAAACAAGTAAGATTGTTGTGTGATCGCCAATTTCTCATGTTGAAAACCCAAAATTCATAACTGAGTTTGGCCTTGAAAAACTGCTGGTAGAAGTTAGGTTCTAGAAAACATTTGTAATTTTTACGGAAGAATTTAAGCAAACACATACATACATATAATGAGACATGAGGTGACAAAGATAATTCTGCTGGGGGAAAAGCAGCTTAAGAAAGTACCTGAAGATAAACCTTCTTCACACCAGGCATATAATCTGCGATCCGGCCAAAGAGCAGCCGTCCGACTCCTGAAGTGATGCCAATGCACATGAGAACCACCTCTTTATTTTTTCCATCTTGAAATCTTTCATTCACATATTTCATCTGTGGACCATCAAGAAAGAAGCAACACTAAATACGGTAGGAAAAACTGACAAGTTTTGACACAAAATGCCTTTGTGTCTCCACAATGTTATGGATTCTCACCCCCTTCCAATTCCAAATATTTATACAATTTCTTCTGTGATAATTGTTCATCAGAACATACGAAGACAAAGCTAACATGATTTAGCTTGCACAAAAGAAGAATTGTTAGGAGAGGTCCTATTTCAAAAAACTGACGAATGTACATTTTATAAGTTAACCTTGAGCCATTAGCTAAAGGAAGAGAACATACTTTGAACACACCATATAGCCTTCTCCTCTCAAGGTCACCCCAGGACCCAATTATCTGTTCTCCTTACAGGCTATTTAAGACAGTTTTATCTCTTGTAGGAGGACCTGAACCAAACTGACACTCCTGAAACAGCTGGAGTGGAGCTTCCAGGATAAAGCAGAAGTAAGGTTCCCTACCTGTGAATTTGCCTATCTGTGTGACATCAGAACAGACAGATACACAGTTTAACACAGCGGTTAAGAGAAAAGCCTCTTAGACTGCATGGGTTCAAGTCTTGGTTCCATCCCTTATCAGCCTTGTGACCTTGAGTAATTTCTTAACCTCTAGGTCCTCAGTTGCCTTGTCTGTAAAATGGACATAGCAATAGTACCTCAAGTATTTAAAATATACAACCTATCACTGATACACATATCCATTGTAAAAAGACCCCCCCCCATTCAAATTAGTTAATACATCTATCACCTAACATATTTACCTTTTTGGGGGGAGGGGGGTGAGAACCCTTTTCTATTCTCTTGCAAATTTCAATTATACAATACCCTGTTGCCAACTATAATCAACAATATAATTAGATCCTCAGACCTTATTTATAACTGAAAATTTTAATTTTAGCCTTCTTTTAAAGTTTATTTTGAGAGAGTGTATGTGCGAGCAGGGGAGGGGCAGTGAGGGAGGGAGAGAGACAATTTCAGGCAGGCTCCACGCTCAGTGCAGAACTCCACGCAGGGCTTGATGTCATGACCAACCGACCATGTGATCATGACCTGGGCTGAAATCAAGAATCAGCTGGTTGGTGGGGCGCCTGGGTGGCGCAGTCGGTTAAGCGTCGACTTCAGCCAGGTCACGATCTCGCGGTCCATGAGTTCGAGCCCCGCGTCAGGCTCTGGGCTGATGGCTCAGAGCCTGGAGCCTGTTTCCGATTCTGTGTCTCCCTCTCTCTCTGCCCCTCCCCCGTTCATGCTCTGTCTCTCTCTGTCCCAAAAATAAATAAACGTTGAAAAAAAAAAATTAAAAAAAAAAAAAAAAAAAAGAATCAGCTGGTTGGGGCACCTGACCTGGGTGGCTCAGTTAAGTGTCCGACTTCAGCTCAGGTCATGATCTCACGGTTCGTGAGTGCAAGCCCCGCATCAGGCTCTGTGCTGTCAGCTCAGAGCCTGGAGCCTGCTTTGGATTCTGTGTCTCCCTCTTTCTGTCTCTGTCTCTCTCAAAAATAAATAAACATTAAAAAAAAAAAAAAAAAAAAGAATCAGTTGGTTAAATAACTGAGCCACCCAGGCACCAGGCACCCAATTTTAGCCTATCTTTTTCCAAGGACCTTTTCCCTCTATTTGCAGTGCACTTAATGACTGTAAAACAACAACCTGACTATGTTTTAAAAGGAAGTGTGGCCAGGCAGTTGTTACACTGGGTGAAAGAAAAATACACAGCAACTCAGCACCCACTAACATAAGCTTTGCTCCCACAGCCCCCAAGTTTCATCCCTATCTTAGGGATCTTATCTTACCCCTTTTCTCAATGATCATTTATCTGTGCTCACAAGGAAAAAAAGCATGTCTCTACTCCCACTGTTTTCTCTGCAATCGCAGAGATGTTTTAACTAACCCCAACAGTTGTTTCAAACAATCAGACTTGCCGTTCCCTATACGAAACTTTGGCCTGAATTCTAGAAGCCTGCAAAGCAAATTACCCAGCAAACTCAATGGCCCATTGATTCCCAAGTGTTCCTAGTAGCCTGTAGGGATGACGTCTTCTTAAGAGACTTCCATTTCACATTTTTAGGCCCACTTGGATATGCCAACACCATCACTGTGTCTTTTCCCTTCCCAAACTGGTAACTGTCCTCCCTAACTTCTCTATTTCCACACTGCTCCGGAATAATTCTTCTAAATAGGACTTTAATCTGATCAATCCCTCACCCATTAGTTACCCACCACTGACATTTATATTCGGTTTGGTATTAAAAGCCCTTCATAACCTGTCACCAGTCGTCTTTGTGCCTTTATTACCTATTGATCCTTGACTCAAAAGCAGAAAACTCAAATATCTACAGGACTCAGGCAAGTAGCAAAAAGGAGTGAAAGAGACTTCCCGGAGAGAGGGAACACATACTCCAAGCCCCCTTTTATTTTAAAGGGAAGTCAGAAATTTTTTGTGGAAATGTTGGCACCTACCTTAAATTTACAACACAGCAGGATCCAACCCCATGCCAGTCTGCAAACTGCATTAGGCTGGCTTTGATCTCAGCCCTAATCCCATCTGGCCCAGCAGGACAGGTTTATTCAAATAGTGTTGCTTAAACACATCTCATACTTTCTTACCTCTCTACATTTCTGCTGTCTCTTCTTTGACTTTCTGAATCCTACCCATTCTTTAAGACTCTGCTCAAATCCCACCTTTTCTATAAAGCTGTCCTTGATGACCTCCGCCTTATATCCCATTCTTGTTATTGCCTAAAGTTTTCATTGGCACCTTAAGTATTGATTGTTCCTACCCAGCCTTTCTAGCTTCTAAGGCTACACATTCTGTTGTATAAACTCTTGCACGTCACCCTAGGCCTATCTACCCGTCTGTTCCAAAGACACCTCAAAGTGAACATGACTCATGCTGAACTCCTCTCCCCCTCACAACCTGCCTTCCCTCCACTACTACTTTTGGCCCAACTCTCCAAGGGAGAAACCTGAAAAGCATCCTAGATTGCAGATCCAGGAGTCACCGCCAAATTCTGATGATTTTACCTCCTCCCCCTCTCAGACACACTTCCTTTGGTCTGTGTTCCCTGTGTTTCAGTTCGGGCTCCCACCACTCACTTAGACAACAGCAGCCTCCTAGCATGCTTCTGGCTTGAGCCCCCCACTCCTGCATCTTTAAATTCTCTGAGACCACCAGATTAAGTTCAAAACGAAAAACACTTCTCTGAGATCCTTTGACGGTTCCCACAGCCTTCAGGATAAAGCTTCCGATCCTGCTTTAATAGATAAAAGCTTTGCTACTGCAGCCTCACTTCCAGCTGCCTCCTTACACACACGCTGTTAACACTGTGCTGTTCAATGTGGTAGCTGCTAGCCACACAGAGGCTACTGAGCACTTAAAAAGTAGCTAGTTCACATTGAGATGTGCTCGAAGTGCAAAATACAGAAAATTTAGAAGGCTTAGTGGAAAAACATGCAAAATATCTCAATAATTTAAAAATTGATTCCATGTTGAAATAATATTTTGGCTACATTAAATAAAATATATTGTATATATCATGAAACTAGTTTCATTTGTTGTTAATTTTTTTTAATGTTTATTTAGTTTTGAGAGAGAGAGAGAGAGAGAGAGAAACAGCATGAGCAGGGTAGGGGCAGAGAGAGGCAGAGACCCAGAATTTGAAGCAGGCTCCAGGCTCTGAGCTGTCAGCACAGAGCCCGACGTAGGGCTTGAGCTCACGAGCTGTGAGATCATGACCTGAGCTGAAGTCAATGCTTAACCGAATGAGCTGCCCGGACGCCCCGGTTTTTAATTCTTTTAAATATGGGAAGTAGAGGGACGCATGCGTGGCTCAGTAGGTTGGGTGTCCGACTTCGGCTCAGGTCATGACCTCGCAGTTGGTGGGTTTGAGACCCGCATCGGGCTCTGTGCTGACAGCTTGGAGCCTGGAAGCCCTGCTTCGGATACTGTGTCTCCCTCTCTCTCTGCCCCTCTCCCCACTCACACTCTGTCTCTCTAAAAAATAAATGGACATAAAAAAAATTTTTTTAACTATGGAAAGTAGGACATTATAAATTATATGGCTTACATTACAACAGTGCTGGTCTAAGAAATCCACTTGTGGCTGCAAAGATAAGGTAGCTGTTGATAAAGGTGACCTCAAACTGGCTTATTCCTCCAGGCCTTTATCACTCTTGGTAAGTGAAATTAGACAAAGTGGAAAGATGGATTGCAGCTCAATTCCGAAGAAAATGAATAACCTGATTTAAGGCACGTAGAATATAATTATGTGTATTCATCAACTTATTTAGAATTTGAATCCAGACTTAATGTATTAATCTACTTCAGTAAGTACCCAAAGGATCTAACTTTTTAAAAGATATTGTTCAGTATTAAAAACAAAAAAAAAAAAAAAACAAAAAACAAAAAACCAAAAAAACAACAACAACAAAAAAACAACTAAACTAAACCAAACTTACCAGTCATTCTTTTGATGAAACTAAGAACACTTGCCTGCCAAACTGCTATTTTCATTAGTGGTTTAGTTTAGTTTTCCCCCTGCTCTACTTTAAGATCCTTAAAATGGATAATAAGGTGAATTGTTTTCGGCCTTTTGAAAGTGGGTGAGTTTGTTAAGTCTAAATTACGCTTAAGTGGAAACTTAGTTCTTCAACTATAAGGGGTGTTATTTCATTGAAATGTGTTGCTGTTGTTATAAAACAAGGACTTCAGCTTCCAATACACCTCCTCACCCTCGCCCAAATCTGCAAGCTCAAAAACAGTCGGTAAGTATGGGAATCTAGGGGGTGGGGGTGGGGGGGTCGGAGAACAGTCTAGGGATGCTAGTCTCTGGGTCCTAGAGATCCTTCCTTAATTGAGGTAGCAGTTCCCTGGAGATCTGGTGCGTTCTACTTCAGCTTGGTCTCCCATGATTGCTGCAGGCTATTTGATGAATCTCTGCCAATGTCTCATCCTCTGGAGACTGCCATGCACCTTAATTTAGCGGAAAGCATGAATATTAGGCCAAATTCGTATCTCTCAAAAAGCCTTACATGGATAAGGACATAAAAATGTTGGGTAGGGGCACCTGGGTGGCTCAGTCGGTTGAGCGTCCGACTTCGGCTCAGGTCACGATCTCACGGTTCGTGAGTTCAAGCCCCGCGTTGGGCTCTGGGCTGACAGCTCAGAGCCTGGAGCCTGTTTCCGATTCTGTGTCTCCCTCTCTCTCTGCCCCTCCCCCATTCATGCTCTGTCTCTCTCTGTCTCAAAAATAAATAAACATTAAAAAAAAAAATGTTGGGTAGATGTTTCCCTATTTAACCTAACTTTATAAACGAACACAGAGCTTACAACAGAGGCCACTATCTACGTAAAAAAATAACATCATTTTGTAGAGCAGTTGTTTCAAGTTGACTTTATCTGAATGTATTTTCAGGGTAGGAATTAGTCCTTTATTTAGGTCCTCAAACATT